TCCAATCCAGGCAGTTCTGGGATTCTGTGGTCTGTGCTTAGAGAGAAATAAAAAAACAAGAGGGATTTGTCTGAAGGTCAGTGGAGAATTTCTGGGCCAAACCCAAGGGTTTAAAGCCATTTTCTGTGCTCCTGAGCCCACCTTGCTGGGAAGAAGTGACTGCAGCCACACAGTTGGTGACCATGAATCCTTTTCAGCTAGAAGAGCTTGAACAATCGTTGTTGCTGGAGCTTTGATGTATTGTCATCATAAAAATAGTTCCAGGTTATGATTCATCAAGGTTCGTGTGACGGGACCCAAAGGAAACCATAAGCCCAGGACAATGGCAGCGAGTCACTTCCTCTTTTCCTTCCTATTATGTAGCTTCTGGTTTTTGGTCTTCTGCCAGTGCTTTAACTTTTTTCACACCGTGTTTCAGGCAAGCCTGCGTACACCTGAGCTGACCTGGGAGAGGGTGAGGTCCCAGGTGGACCACGTCATCTGGCCAGATGGGAAGAGGATAGTCCTTCTGGCAGAGGTGAGTTGCAAGCAAAGGAGCAGGAATTGCAACTTGTTCTCTGCTTGTGGAGGAAGAAAAACAAGGGCTGGGTGAGTGGTGGAGCCCAAATGCATCCAGAAATCACTTCCTAGGGCCTCAGCAGCTCAATAGTCCCTCTGGTTGAAAGGTTTGGTGTAACCCTGATCTGGCCCATGAGTTCCTGGAACGCAGAAAAGCTCCTGTGTTTCTCTTTATCTCCCACAGGGTTTTTGATCAGGTTTTTTTTCACTTCTAAATAGTTTTACCGAGTGATAAGAGCAACCAGTATCTTGGGGTTCAAGTGCATGTCATCACCAGTGTTTCATCCCAGAAGGGACACGTTTCATCGGTGGTTCTTGTACCTTCTGTAGGGTTGTAAGCTGATTTTGGTGCCATCTTGAGATAACAACCAATTTTTCCTTTCCAGGGTCGCCTGTTGAACCTGAGCTGCTCCACTGTCCCCACCTTTGTCTTGTCCATCACTGCCACCACGCAGGTGAGTAGGGTTTGGGCTGAGCCAAAAGCAACATCTCCCTCCATAGCAGGCAGCAGTTACTTACCTAAGTGTCTTCTCCATCCAGGCTTTGGCTTTGATAGAGCTGTACAACGCTCCCGAAGGCCGCTACAAGCAAGATGTGTACTTGCTGCCTAAAAAAATGGGTAAAGATGGAACTCGTTGCCTTCTCCTTTTTGGTTTTGAGAGTTGAACAGATGGGAGGTTTTGTTAGGCTGGGCTGAGGACAGCGGGGCACGGCAGCCTCCTGGGCTCTCTTCTTTGCCTCCCTGCCAAGTTCAAGGTCTTCTGGTGAGTTCTTCCCACTGGGTCTGGGCTCTTTGCTAAATTGGAAGCGTTGTTTCTCCTGGGGAGAACCAGCTGACGCACTCGGCCGACTGCAGGAGTCCATCCGTGCTGGTGCAGGAGATTTTCAGGTAGGGCTTCTGCCAGCAGATCTGCCTTCGTTGGCTGTGAAGACACGTAGCCCTTGACCAACAGCTCTGCCAGCAGAACCCCTTCCTGAGGACACGAGCTATACTGACCATGCTTTTGCTGCAAAACTGGACTTTTTGGGTGTTAATTGTATTTTTTGAGACCAAATGTCACTTGTCCTTAGCTTGGGTGTGAGGTGTCACCTCCCAGAAACGTCCAGTGGCTCCTGCATCAGTAGAGCATCCAGGCTTGCCCAAGGGTATGGGGTAACACAGCAGCTGACCCAGGAGCCCTGCTAGAAGGTTATTTCAGAGAAAAATTTTCCCCTCTAACTCAAAATAGATGAGACCCTTGGTTTTTTTCCCCCACTTAGGGTGAAAATAAATCCTACAATTTAGCAGCCAAGGCGTGAGGAGTGATGCCTTTCCCAGCTGGGGCTTTAGGGACCTGGTGTACAATGAGGAGGGGACTTGTTGTCTTCTCCTTCCCTTACTAACGAGGCTTGAAATCATTTCAGACGAGTACGTGGCAAGCCTTCACCTCCCAACCTTCGACGCCCACCTGACAGAACTAACGGATGAACAAGCAAAATACCTGGGACTGAATAAGAACGGACCTTTCAAACCAAACTACTACAGGTGCTGCTCCTCAACCTCTCTCTCTCTCTCTCTCTCTCTCTTTCTTCGACCTTCAGTGTGGGGTGGGATGGAGGGGATGGGGGTTGAATCCCACTGATCCTCTTGAGAAGATACCACAGGCTTTCTAATAATTCCCATCGTAGAATCATAGAGTGGTTTGGGTTGGAAGGGACCTTAAAGCTCATCCAGTTCCAACCCCCCTGCCATCAGCAGGGACACCTTCCACTAGACCAGGTTGCTCAAAGCCTCATCCAACCTGGATCATCGTCACGTAGAAAGCGGTTCGGCTGGGAAGAGGACAACGTGGTTGGAGCTTGTGAGGTGGAGAGCTTGGCAGGACACCAGCCTTTTGTATCTGGCAGCAGCTGTCACCCAGACGTGGCAAACGGCAGAGCGATGCCATCCGGCCAACTCAGATGACAGCTTTATTTATAAAGTTTGATGAAGGAGGAGATGGCACAGAGCAGTGTTTGCCCCTCGCCACGGGCTCAGCTCTCCAGCTCTCCTCCCCCCAAAATAATAACAATAATTTCCAGTGTGAGCCCCTGGATCATTTCCCTTTCCAGGGTTATGTTTGGAGCCAACACTGCAACATATTTTTTTACCATGAAAATGAAATGTTTTTTGCACAAACACAGATCAGCTTGTTGGGGGGTTGAATTCCAGATCCTTTTCCTACAGGAGAAGGCATTTTCTTGGGATAAAAATGCTCCAGTTTGGGGCTTTAGTGGGTTTTTTCAGAGCGCCTTTTTTTTTTCCTTGCTCTGTGTTATGTGCAAAATGGAGGTGCTGCCACATGGCTGTGTCCTCCTGGGGAGGAATTTCATAGAATCCCAGAATCCCAGACTCATTTGAGTGGGAGGGGACCTGAAAGCTCATCCAGTCTCAACCCC